ACAATGTTGTTGAGGCAATCGCGCAGCACACTGATTCGCACCATCTTTTCACTGGTGCCCTAAGCCGCCCTGGCTTGGCTTTGACCCCTAAATGTTGCACAAGCAAACAAAATTGTGTTTAATGAGTCAAGAGAACATGCTGATGGACTCGCCTCAACCAAAGTTCAAGAAAGCTATTGTTCATCGACCCCCTTAGTCTTCTTTCTCATGACTCATGGATTCAAAATCGGTTCGCACGATCTTTTCCAAGCCGACGACACACTACTACAATGCCATTGCTTACTATCTCAAAAGAAGAAGCCCACGATCTTGCCACCCACGTGCTTCCGACGAGCTTCCTCGTGATCCATGATGCCGTAAGTGGTGGTCCTGAAATCGTCACTGCACTCTGCACACGGCATGCTGCAACATGGAATTCAAGCAGTAGGTTTTGCTAACATCAACATCTGAAATCCCTCTTCACACACCCAACGAGCAACAGGAAGGCTTCAGCACTGAGGCCCCAGCAGCACAAGGTGGCCGAACTGACGGGATGGAAGGAGATCGCTAGCAAGCTGCTCAATGCCTGCCACTGAGACCTCAGATATCGAAATCAAGACAATAAACTCGTGCCTCAAGAATTGCAACACAAAACAGGTACATAACAGTATCACTTGCACGTTCACTGCTCTTGTAGTTATTCTATATGTTTCTCTATTGACTAGTCGCTTGTCCCGTTGCTATCATTCAGTCTGTACGTAGACATAGACTTCAGAAGCACTCTTCACAAGCAATGCAAGCGAGGAACATCAAACCTAGGGGAAATCACGCCGCACTTGTTGATGCGGCCGGTGAGCTCCACGACAATCTTCCCTGCTCGGTGATCATCGATGATCTCCAAATCGCCGATGTAGCCATGCTTCTGCATCACCTGCAGAAACTTGATGATGACCTTGGAGTTTGGCCTGATCAACACCTGGCGCTTTCCACGCTTCTCGGCATTCACAATGTTGTTGAGGCAATCGCGCAGCACACTGATTCGCACCATCTT